TCTTCCCAAAAACACATCCACCTTTTTTGAGATTTTTCAGATTCTCTATGATTATTATCAACAGCTGTGTACTGTAAACAGCAAGATCTTCCAAGACATCATTGCCGAACTTCGCTTTTGCTGAGATGTGTTAACTCTGCGGGAACATTTCTCAGCTTCTGTTTTTTCGTGCTTTTGAAACGGTCGCTCACTCATGCGGTATAGAAATTCCATATTAGTGATGTTACTGGGATGTTTCCACAAGCCAAGCGCAGCTATTATAGTTCCTTTAGTCTTGAGCCTTTTTGATGTACCTTTCTGCAGCTTAAATAGCCGTGTAGCGTTTGCTTCCAACTAGTCAGTATCATTCGCTGATAATAACTTTTGTAAAAAAAAGCCGCACATTTGGTTCACTAACACTTTTTTATATTACACACCGTTCCATCAAAAAAGTCAGACAAAAACTTTCAAAATTTTGTTTTCCCTTGTTGGTTTTGTTAATTTGAATTTCTTATGGTTTCACCCGTTTGGCGATATCTGTACAAGATCCTATAATTCGTCAAGAACCAAGACTATTAAACATCATCCGGCGCTCCATCTGATCATTGTGCCAGACCTAATTCTTATTTACCTACTTGAACTTCATCCTACTAGATTTCAATTCTGAGTTCTGATTTTCAAAGCTAAATGTTAATTTTCTTACATTTTATCAAGTTTAAGAGTATAAACTATTAACCTCGAAGTTCTGCAGTGAAAAAGGAAACATTTCTTCCCCTGTGCTCCCATCCTTTGGGATTTTGAAAAAATGCAGTTCTCACTTAAAGTCCTCGGCCACGGCCTTTTGTTAAAATAATGTTTCTTCCATTGTAGCACTTCGATTTAGCACCTGCTTTAGAAGTGCATGCCTGAATTTTAAGCTCTCATTTTTCAAGAAAAAATTTTTAGCGACTGCGTCACAGTGCGAGTACAGAATTTGCTATTCCCATAGATTCTTCTGGATTTCACAAGGATTGGTTAAACTTTTGATTTGATGCAGATTTACTAGTCTGTGAGGTATTTTAAGAGTCCTGGCGCCAGTTCAAAGCGTCATTCACGTCGCATGGTGACGATGCAGGATGGGAATTGTCGGACGAGCTTCGAAACGGAACGCTATCAACTCTCCAGACAAGACGCTTCTGTAAGCCATGCTCGACGAAGTCCTCTTGGGAGGTTTGTCTGTTTGTTAGCTTGAATTGAGTGACATGACATGGATTTTCATGGAGCTTTTAACAATGTACAGTGATTATAACAAAGAGTTCACCTCTAATAGCTTCAAGCAATGTCTGTTACTATGAACCACAGGTTCAATTAAATACAAACTTGCAATCGCAATATGGAGTCTTAGTTGTTACTGGGGTGATGCCAAATGTTGGCGTTGCCGCGGAATTCTCGCGGGGGCCAGCAAAAGAAGCATGTGTATACAAATGAGCATACAGCATATATATGAGCTCCAAATTATGTTTGGAGCATCCATGCTGGTGATGTAATGATAACATTTGCGTTCGGATGCAAAGAGGAATGGTTCGATTCCTTCTTGATCCAGAAAAATTTTTGAGAAAGAGCTCTGTTTGCTATGGACGTAGATATACCAGGCTGTTTGTTGCTGGCTGTCCACGATTTTTGCACATAATTTCTTCATCACCTACAAAAACCGACGAACAGAACTTTCAAATTTCCTGTGTGATAAACAGAAGTTGGATACTAACTGTCGGAATGCAGTCCAGTATCGAATAGCCTGGCACAGCTGCTATTAGGTATATAGAAAAATCTCAATG